ATAAACCTCCTAGCTCTCAACCCCCTTAAAGCCCATTGGCCTCATCAAGCTTAGTGACCTTCAGGTTTAAATGGTGTGTTCCACCAACCCCCTGAGGCGTTATCCCTGTTGTCTTACAGCCACATCTGCCAATCCCTGCCCTGGCACTCCCCAAGCCCACCTCGAGGCTAGAAGGATGCCAATCCCTGCCCTGGCACTCCCCAAGCCCACCTCGAGGCTAGAAGGATGCCAATCCCCTTTGTTCTCTCTACTTTCCTTTTCTACTTCCGCTGTCTCTGTTCTTCTCTGTCTCCCTGCCTGTCGCTTTTTGCTGTCTATCCTCTGCCCTGCTCTCTCTTTCTCCCTGCCCCCACACAACCTCCCCTTGCTGAAACAAAGGCCTCTTGTGTGGCTCACTTGCTGTATGCCTCATCTTGGGTTTGTGGGAAAAAGTTAATACTGATAATCGCTGGCATTAAAGCAAATGCATGGGGCTGGTGTGGTGGCTCAACAGGTTAACCCTCTGACTTCCAGCACCGGCACCCCATGTGGGTTATTGTCCCGACTGCTTCATTTCTGATCCAGCACCCTGCTTATGGCCTAGGAATGCAGCAGAGCATGGCTCAAATCCTTGGGCCCCTACAACACATGTGGGAAAGCCGGAAGAGACAACTTAGGTTCATGTATTGAAAGCCATAATTTGGATCTGTTCTGATAGTCTAGTGGCTAAAATCCTTGCCTTGCTTGTACCAGGATCCCATATGGGCACCAGTTGGTGTCCCAGAGGGCCCACTTCCCACCCAACTCCCTGCTTGTGGCCTGGGAAAGCAGTGGAGGACGGCCCAAAGCCTTGGGAACCCTGCACCCGGGTGGGAGACCTGGAAGAGTTCCTGGCTCCGGATCAGCTCAGCTGCGGCCACTGCGGCCACTTGGGGAGTGAACCAAAGGATGAAAGCCATCTCTGTCTCTCCTCTCTGTAAATTTGCCTTTCCAATAAAATCAAAATAATTATTTTAAAGGCATAATTCTGCTTCCTCCACATAATCCCATCTACCTAATTGCCAGCCACTTCTCCCCTGTCCAGGATACACTTCCCTGACCTGGTGTGGGGTCACACACACATTCCCCTCCCCAGCTCACGGGAAGGCTGCCAACGGGGCAGCGTGCTGTCCTCCACAAGCACAAGATGGAAGTTAGAAACGCATGCATACTCCTGCATACAGCCCACTGTATCTGTGACTTCCTCACTTTTAAATTGACTCTATTTTTAAAAATAAATGAGTAAATCTTCAAAAGCAACCAGATTTAAAAGACATAGGAAACAAGAAGCAAGACCCAGTGTTCCATAACAATGTCTGCCAACTACAGGTAACAATGTGATGCGCTATATAAAACATGCATGGAGGACCCAGTATGCTTACACACACACACACACACTTACACACACACAGAGGCATGGAGGACCCAGTATGCACACACACACACACACATAGAGGCAGGCATGGAGGACCCAGTATGCTTACACACACACACACACACACTTACACACACACAGAGGCATGGAGGACCCAGTATGCACACACACACAGGCACTGAGGACCCAGTATGCACACACACACACACATAGAGGTAGGCATGGAGGACCCAGTATGCTTACACACACACACACACACACACACACAGAGGCACTGAGGACCCAATATACACACACACACACACACAGGCATGGAGGACCCAGTATGCACACACACACACACACACACACACACACACACACACAAGGCATGGAGAACCCGTATGCACACACACACACACACACACACACACACACACACACACACACACACATAGAGGCAGGCATGGAGGACCCAGTATGCTTACACACACACACAAACACACACAGGTATGGAGGACCTAGTATGCTCCCACACACACACGCACACACACACACACACACATAGAGGCAGGCATGGAGGACCCAGTATGCTCCCACACACACGCACACACATGCACAGGAACTAGATAGCCTGGCTTGGTCAGCTTCTGCTGTGTGTGTACTCACATATTTGCACCGTACAATCATCTAACAGTCGTACATGTGAATCAAACATGATTTAAGATAAGTTAAAAACTCAGAAGCATCCCTACACACCAGCACTGAATTATCTGAAAAAACAAATGAAAGAAAGGAATCCCTTTACAGAGCACAGAAAGGCATTTAGTCAATACTCTACAATCCTGTGAATTTTTTTCACAAAGCCTCTTCTGTTTAAAAGGCGGAATCTCGGAAAAGGAAAGAAAGCACACAGAGATGCAGAGGAAGAGTTCTTCCTTTTCATGATTTGCTTCTCACATGACCACAACGTTCAGGTGAGGCCAGACAACAAGCGGCAATCCTGGAATTCCATCTAGATCCACCTTGTTACGAGGGCCCAAGGGACTGGCATGGTTTATGCTGTTTTCCGGGCACATTCACAGGAAACTGGATCAGAAGTTTACCACCTGAGACTACAACTGGTGCTCATACAGCATGCAGACAGCCGCCTAATATGCTTTTCCACAGCACCTGCCAGAAAATTTTTAAAATACACACAATCTTGTAGTCAAAAGTCAAGCTTACCTTTCCTATTGAACTTTCTGTCTCATACCATTTACAATTAGATTATCCTGTGTTGGGCCTGGCGCCATAACCTAATGGCTAGAGTCTTTGTCTTCCATGTGCTAGGATCCCATATGGACACTGGTTCATCCTAGCTGCTCCACTTTCCATCCAACTCCCTGCCTGTGGCCTGGGAAAGCAACTGAGGACGGCTCAAAACCTTGGGACCCTGCACCCACGTGGGAGGCCCAGAGGAAGCTCCTGGCTCCTGGCTTTGGATCAGCTCAACTCCTGCCATTGCAGCCACTTGGGGAGTGAACCAGTGGATGGAAGATCTTTCTGTCTCCCCTTCTCTCTATAAAATCTGCCTTTCCAATGAAATAAATAAATCTCCTTGTGTTTTGCAAATTCCACTACTGGAACACTAACCTTGAATGTACATCCAAGAATGGTTGCACTGCTTTACTTCCAACCTGAAAGCGTGACAGGAAAGGACAGAGATTTCCCACCCATCGATATGCCTCGGAATGCCTTTAATAGCTGGGCTTGTGCCAGACTGAGCCCAGGATCCACAATTCCTCCTGCATCTCCCATGTGGAGGGAGGTAGCTCGGCACTTAGGACAACACCAGATACTTCCCAGATGCCTGAGCAGGAAACAGACTTGGAAGGGGAATGGCCAGGACTTGAACCAGGTGCATTGGTTTGGATGCAAACGTTCTAAACGGTGGATTAACTTACTTGTCCATGCCCCAACACATCTTACACTGTCTGATTCGTTTGTTTAATATCAAACTTAGACCAATGGATCTCAGTTAAACAACAACAACAAAACCAAGATGGGAGTTTAGCTTAGTAGTTGAGAAACATGTATCCCACAGTGGACACCCTGGCCCCGAGTCCAGCTGCCTATTTGTACAAACCTTGGGAAGCAGTGGTGACGGCTTAAGTCACTGGGTTCCTGCCACCCACAAATAAAACCTGGACCGAATTCCCAGCTCCCAGCTTCAGCCCTGATCCATCCGTGGCAACCCTGGGCCTCTGGAAACGACCAGAGAATAGAGTTCTGTCTCTCTCAGTGTCTTTCACATTCTCTCCATAAAGGAGGGTTTATTCCTGGATGTCAGATCATGTAAAGAAAAGAGAGCTTGAAATCTAATCATTGTACAAACATTTAATTTCCTTATTTCCATAGCATCTAACAGATAAACCTTGATTCAAAATGACAATACCAACGACAAACAGAATTGCTGCAACTTTCAGTAGCTAAAAGGAATGACAGAAATTATCTGCAGGGTAGAATAAAAGAATTGGGAGCTTTCTGTTCTACAATAGCTGAACTTGAAGAAATATTCTGTGAAATCAGATTTAGATTATTTGAAAACGCAGATTCTAGGGAAATGACCTGAATAAAAATCAGAAACACATATACTTGATATCTTAATAAAAGAGCAAATGGACTCTTAGAGGATGCTCAATTAAAGCGAGGAGAGGTGGGCATCCGGCAGCATGGTTCAGTGAATGCCTGGAGCGCCCTATATAACGGGGGAGTGCACGTGCTGGTGTCTGGCTGCGCACCCAATTCCAGCCTGCCACTAGCTCGTGTCCCAAGAGCAAGCAGGGAGTGCTTCAAGCACAGGACCCCTTGACCCTGCAACCTTAAGCAGACTTAGTTCCCAACCAGGCCCTAGCACACTCTGGCAGGAGTTGAGGAGTCCACCAGCAGATCACCATCTCTGCATTTTACAAATTTAAAAAATGCAAAAATTATAAAAAGTGAAAGTTTAAAAACAAAAAGTTGCATTTACGTTTGGTGCAGCAGTTAACACTCCCGCATTTCTCGGCCTTTAAGGTCAAGTTTAGAGCCCAGCGTGGTAGCTCAGTGGCTGAAGTCCTCACTTGAAAGCACCAGAATCCCAAACGGGCGCCAGTTCATATCCCAGCAGCCCCACTTCCCATCCAACTTCCTGCTTGTGGCCCAGGAAAGCAGTCGAAGACCGCCCAAAGCCTTGGGACCCTGCACCCATGCGGGCGACCCAGAAGAAGCTCCTGGCTTCAGATCGGCTCAGCTCTGGGTGTGTGGTCTCTTGGAGCGTGAACCAACAGACCGATCTTTCTCTGTCTCTTCTCTGTATATCAGTGTTTCCAGCAAAGATAAATCTTTGATTAAAAAAGCAACTTATGGGAACATTTCACACCAATGTGGGCATTGGTTCAAATCCGCAACTGCTGCTTTTGTCATCCATTTCCCCGCTAATTATCTGTCCTAAAAAAAAAAAAAAGAATGGAAAAAAAGAAGAAACGATGAGAGGGAAGGTAAGGGAGAAGGAAGGATGGAGGAACGGAAGAAGGGAGGGATGGGGTGATAGCTGGGCGCAGTCCTCTAGCAAGAGCCTTGCTGATGGCTCCCTTGTGGGTTTCAGATCCAGTCGCCCAGCTCCAACTGGGTCCAGCACACCTCTCTGATGACCCTCCACCCTCGACGCGATTTGGAGAGACGTGAGGGAGGCCCGCCAGCGCACGGACGGACAGGACAGGACGCGAAGGTCAAGGCTACAGGCCCCCCGCGCCAGCCGGAGACTGGCCGAACACACTCACCCTTCCCGGCTTCCTCAGGAGGAGTTCAGACACGGCAGAGGATGCACCGCGCGGCTCTCCACCAGCAGGACCAAGAACGAGCCCGGGCGGCGCGGCGCCGGAAATGACCCCCGCGGGCTTCCGAACCTGGTGTGCCTGATTGGACCGTCTGCAACCCGTGACTGCGTGCGATGTCCAATCAATCCCAGTCGCACCGGGTCTGGGTCGGGGTTCCGGCGGGAGGGGAGCGGGGGGCGGGACTCCGCCTCAGGTCCCACGTCGCCTTTTCCTGCAGTCAAGTCTCCGGACAGCAGGGGCCGCTCTCACCTCCCAGAGAATCCTACTCCCCGTCCTTCCTTCCCTTGTCCGTGATCCTGGTAAAGTCTTCACCACGAATCTGTGGTCATCGTCACAGGTTACAGTGTATGGAATCCTTACTGGATTCTGACATTTTTTTCTTCTGGATTTTTTTTTTAAGTTTGGTCAACTGACTTTTTAAAATATCAACCTGAGGGTCCATGCATACTAATCCTCTGGCTGCAGTGGTAGTTTACTATATGAACGCTAGTTCAAGTCCTGGCTTCTCCACTTCCCATCCAGCTCCCTGCCTGTGGCCTGGGAAAGCAGTCGAGGATGGCCCAAAGCATTGGGACCCTGCACCCGCGTGGGAGACCCGGAAGAGGCTCCTGGCTTCGGATCGGCATAGTATCGGCCGTTGCGCTCACTTGGGGAGTGAATCATTGGACGGAAGATCTTCCTCTCTGTCTCTCCTCTCTGTATATCCGCCTTTCCAATAAAAATAAAATAAATCTTTAAAAAAAAAGTAAAATATCTTATTTCTAAATATTTCAGAAAATCTTCCATCTTGTGAATGTTTATAACTTTATTTGAAAAATTATGGTGTGTGGATTGCAGAAATATCTGATACATGTGGCATTTCTCCTTTTCTTAATGACTGTTACTAATTTGTGTTAATTTTTACATGCATTTTAAGATTTATTTTTTTAAGATTTGTTTTTTCAAAAAATTTATTTATTTTTATTGGAAAGGCAGATATACAAAGAGGAGAGACAGAGAGGAAGATCTTCCATCCAATGATTCACTCCCCAAGCGACCGCAACAGCCAGTGCTGTGCTGATCCAAAGCCAGGAGGCAGAAACTTCCTTCAGGTCTCTCACGCGGGTACAGGGTCCCAAGGCTTTGGGCTGTCCTCAGCTGTTTTTCCCGGCCACAAGCAGGGAGCTGGATGGGAAGTGAGTCCACTGGGATTAGAACCGGCACTCATATGGGATCCAGGCTCCTTTAAGGTAAGGACTTTAGCCGCTAGGCCACTGCACCAGGCCCAAGATTTATTTATTTATTTAAGATGCATTTATTTTTATTTGTAAAGACAGATATAGAAAGAAGAGGAGAGACAGAAAGGAAGATCTTCCGTCTGATGGTTCACTCCCCAAGCGGCCGCAACAGCTGGAACTGAGCCAATCCGAAGCCAGGAGCTTCTTCCAGGTCTCCCACGTCGGTGCAGGGTCCCAAGTCTTTGGGCTGACTATGACTGCTTTCCCAGGCCACAGGCAGGGAGCTGGATGGGAAGCAGGTCAGCCGGAATTAGAACCGGTGTCCATATGGGATCCCGGCGCATTTATGGCCAGGACTTTAACCGCTATGCTATTGTGCTGGGCCCTTTATTTATTTATTTTATTGGAAAGACTGATATACAGAGAGGAGGAGACAGAGAGAAAGATCTTCCTATATGGTATCCTGGCACGTTCAAAGCGAGCACTTTAGGTGCTAGGCCACTGCGCTGGGCCCTTAACATGTTTGAAAAGCAGGTTTTCTTGTTTCTTTCTTTCTTTTGTTAAGATAATAATAATTTTTTAAAGTTAACTATGTCACAGTTTCTGTGGGAGTAGAGATGCATGATGCAATCCGTGTTCAGCTCCCATATGCCAGTCTCCATTATGTAGTTCCTCTAGGCGCATCCCTGCGTGTACGTGTTTACCTATACACCTGCTGATGTAGCATGTTGTATGAAGGTTGCCTAATACCACGGAGAACATAGGCTGCTTGTCATTTCAGGATTGGCTTATCTCACTGAGCGCAATGCTCTCTAGTTGGGCCCACTTTGCCACAGTCCTCCAAAGCCAGGGACTGGGAACTCCATCTGGGTCTCCCGTGTGGTGGTTGAGACTGGCATAGCAATGTCAGCTCCCTGTTAGTGAGACAGGGAAAGAAGCTAGGCTCCAAAAGACAAATGTCATGTTTTCCTTGATCTGAGATCATTAAGGCACAGAGTAGAAAATCCATGCTGTATATGAGAGAAATTGACATTTGAGGGTTGTTTGTTTGTTTTATTACAAAATCAGGTATACAGAGAGGAGGAGAGACAGAGAGGAAGATCTTCCGTCCGATGATTCACTCTCCAAGTGGCTACAATGACTGGAGCTGAGCCAATCTGAAGCCAGGAACCAGGAACTTCTCCCAGGTCTCCCACGCGGGTGCAGGGTCCTAAAGCTTTGGGCCGTCTTCGACTGCTTTCCCAGGCCACAAGCAGGGAGCTGGATGGGAAGTGGAGCTGCCGGGATTAGAACCGGCGTCCATATGGGATCCCTGCGTGTTCAAGGCAAGGACTTTAGCCGCTAGGCCACGCCACCGGGCCCAACATTTGAGATTTGATTCCTGTCTATGTTGTAAAGAATTCGATGTGAAACATGGCAGAAACCTTTTTTCTTGTCTCCCACACAAAAGAATTTTCATGTCCACAATTCCAGTTTGCAAAGCAAGATTTAAAGAAGGAGAGGGAGTGGGCTCCAAGGAAGGAAAAAGGGAAAAAAACCCTCCACCAGCAAAGCAACCCTAGGTAGTGGTGGAAATGGTGTCCTTTATGCCTCCTCCCTGGGGGAGTTACCTAAAGGACAGAAGACAAAGCCTCATTCACAATGAGCAGCTGTGTCCATCAGCTGGTCCAGAGCTGAAAGGACTCCAGGAGGGTGGGACTGGTAACTTCCTCCTCCCACTCCGATGAGAAGCTGAGCCCCTTCTCTCTGACAATGACCCAGAGGTGAGATTAGGCGGCCAGGACTCCTTGCCTTTGTTATGACAACTCTGACAGGGTGAATTCCTATGCTGATTGTGCCCCTGTGTCCTTCCTCCAGGGAAGGGCTGCCCTTGAAAGAAACATGCTCTGAAAAGTTCAGACACGGCGAGAAATAGGATTTTAGATTTTTAAAAAGTAACCTGGGGACAGACCCCTAACTGCCTGCTCTCCCATCCGACTCCCCACACATCTACCGCCTGTTGATATTCTAGAGAAACAGTGTTTTTTTTCCTACTTGCCACTTCCTGAGTTCTTTAACTAGTGGACTACTAAGCTTGTGATTATGGAATAAACCAAAACACATGTCGCATTGAGGTTCCACCTAACCCCAAGGAAAACAGCAACATGCAGAATTAAAAAAAAAAATCAGTGTCGGTGAGGATGTGGGGAAATAGGCAGCCTGATCTATTGTCACTCTGGAAAAATTCTTCAGATATCTGAAACTACATCTACCATATGGTGCAGCCACCCCACTTCAGAGAGTAATCCATAAGCAATAAAGTCTGCATATGAGTTACCTGTGATGCTATGTTTTTACCAGCAGACTGCACAGTAGCTAAGGTACAGAGCCAAACCAAGTGCGCATTGCTTGATGACTCGGATAAAGAAAATGTGTCACATACACAGAATAGAATGCTACTCAGTGATTAAAAAAATGAACTCATAGTTTGCAACAAAATGAACCCAGCTGGAAACCATTATACTTAGTGAAATGCAAGTACCCAGAAGGCAAATGTATGTTCTTCCTGATTTTTGAGAAATAATACACGGAGCAGAAAGGACATAGTCTCTCTCAGGGGGATTAGCACCCTGGGGATTGAGTGCTGGATACTGCATGTGTAACCACGCCCCTCACAAGCCCCTACAAAGGCTCAGGATAGGGAGGGGCTCGCTCTCTTGGTCACGTGCTTCCTTTGCTCTGGCACTCCGACCCTTGGCCATCCCAGGACAGGTATCCCCTGAGCATGGCCCCTGTGTGTCTGTATTCCTCACCCTCTGTTCACTGCTTGGGTGGACAATGAAGATAGCAATGTGAAGATGCTTTGTATTTCTAGTATGTGTGCTAATGGGAGTTCCAGAAGAGGGGAGGCCCAGCAGGAGTGGGAAGTGGGCAGAGAAGCCAGAGAACGGTAAATGTCTCCAGCTTTGTACGTACGTTCAGGTTGCTCGTTGCATGTCTATTAGCTTATACTTATATTTATACTCTTAACTTATAGTATTGGGGAAGCTGGGACATAGAGAGAGAGGAGAGACAGAGAAGAATATCTTCTATCCAATGACTCACTCCCCAGGCAGCCACAATGTCCAGAGATGCACCGATCCGAAACCAGGAGCCAGGAGCCTCTTCAGGGTCTCCCACATGGGTGCAGGGTCCCAAGGTTTTGGGACGTAATTGACTGCTTTCCAAGGCAACAAACAGGGAGCTGGATGGGAAGCGGGGCTACTGGAATTAGAAGCGGCACCCATATGGGATCCTGGCATGTGCAAGGCGAGGACCCCAGCTGCTAGGCTACTGTGCCAGGACCTAATGCTATTATTTTATGATACAATTCCATAGGCTCTGGGATTTCCCTTCTATCCCTCCAACTTCCCCTCCTCCCAGACACCCATTTCCCCTATATTATTACAATAGTAGATATTTACTTACTTTATTGAAAAGGCAAATGTCTCCCCATTGGGCACAGTGGCCAGGGTTGAGCCAGTCTGAACCACGTGCCTGAGCTGCTTCTGGATTTCCCACTTGGGGACAGAGTCCCAAGGCTAAGACCATACTCTGTGGCTTTCCCAGGCTGAAATCGGGAACCTGGATGCAAAGTAGGTGGAGGATTGGCCAATTGAGCCATCTTGCTGGGCCCTGTCTTTCCCCTTTGATGGGAGCTTAGGTCAGTTTGAATTAGGACTTCACAGTTATAATATCATTTCATGTCAATTACCTTCTTAAAAAATGATGTCTCCAAGTAGTCACATTGGTGGTCAGTACTTCATGACATAAAGTTTAAGGGGACACACATCTGTCCATAACTGTTAGAAGGG